ACAACCGGATCTCCACACCAAAAACCCACAGGCAGCATATACTACAAAACTCAGTGACAAGATACCCACAAACCCCCAAGACACAAGCAAGTGGGGACAAACCACCATGAGCCACAAGACCTGTGGGATATCAGCATCCAGGCAGGAGGAAAAGGGACGCACAGGGCAGCTGGCAGACCTGAGAGTAAGAGACCGACCCCGCAGAGCCCACACGAGCTGCTGGAAAGCAGACGGGCCAACACCTCTGAGTTCATTACGAGTACCCTCCATCAATTCCACCTAGACTTAAAAATCTACACACGACAATCCGTGCTGTTTTCTAACACCACAGAAAACAAATTTGTGCTTTTGTTCCTTTTTGGAGAAGGTTTTTAAAACACCTTTTGGCTAAACTAGGCTAACCTGAAACAGATCTGGTAAATGGAATAAGAGACTGTGTGGCTTCAGGCAAACTAAATATATTCCAGTACACGGACTGGAGTCAGTCACAGCTGCATCCAAAAGAATGAACAAAACGGCTGAAAAAGACAGCTGACCGGAACTCATGCAGAAGTTACCTCAGAAATGTTTTTGTCAGTTTCTTTTCTTTTTTCTTCCAGTTTCCTTTCAATACCTACAATTCCTACAGCCCTTATTCTTCCTGGCTGAAAAACAAAAGTGGAGAATAAAAAGCACAACACAGGAAGGACACAATCCTTTGTAGCCCACCACATTGTGTTTTCAGTGGCGGGAGAGAACCCACAAAGAACCCAAGGAAAACAGCACACAATTATATCTAGTTTCCTTCCAAAACATTTGTGGGCCTCTTGCATACATAATGATCTTCAAATCATTATAAAGGAAAATGGAACATAACAATGCGTGGTACATTTTACTCCGCATTGTAGCTAAAAATTAAATTTCCTATTCATTTTTGTTCTTTGCCAAGCTTTATGCATAGATCAGATACTTAACAGGGTCTCAAATGTGCAAAAAATTATTGTTAAAATTTGGGTACTTGACGGTTATTATACAAGCTACTTTTACACATCGGAGTGTCTGTCCATAGTTGGCGGTTAATTAGACCGGCCTGGAAAACGTCACCCAGCGGTACTGACTGTTCTCTCAGATGCCATACTAATTATGAAGAACAGAATCAGGAAGTAGAATCTAACTTCCATTGCCCCCAAATTATCCTGGTAAGTGGTCATTAATTTTTACTAAGTGTCTACTGCCTACAGAGCACTAAATTAGGTTCTGTGAAAATAAATTTTTTAAATTAGAATATCATTATTTTGTTTCTGGCAAGTGCTATGATCACAGAACTCTTTCCCCTTTATGAAGATGCAAATACAGAGCTGAAAATACTGGGTTAGGAAACATTTTAAAAAATACCTGGGGTCCTCTTTTCGTTTGTAATGACTGGGAAACTGGCATATTCTCCCATCTTCTCTGTGTCATTTCCTCTGATAATCGCCTGTAAAACTGTCAGGCACATGCAGACACTTTAAATGATTCTGTGGCATCCTCGCACAGGTCATTACTTAACATTTCTTTAGTTGAAAGGTCTGTTTGGTCATTTGCAACAAGCCTAGAATTCTCAGAGACATCAAAGGAAATCAGAGGAAGTTCTTTTCTTGGATCAACTTCAGAAAGCACAAAGGAGAAAAAGAAAAAAAGAAGAAGGACCTGACCTTCTATATAAAGTGCACTATTCTCAACAAAACGATGAGTGACAATGAAACAGACTTATTTTAAACAATCCTGCGTACGTGGATTGTTTTTAATCTATAGTGAAACAGTCACAGTGCCAAGAAAAATACACAACTATTATCCATGAAGGAAGCAAAGAATAATTTGTCTAGTTAAAATGTGAGGCCAGATACTAGGGTCAAAAGAAGCCTACACTCATAAAAAATCAACTTTATTTTCAACTACAGAAAGAAGGAATTTAGCTAGACACTTAAATTTACTTAGTGCCTACTGTGCAAGGAACACTGGGTGAGATGCTATAGAAAAAAGAACATAAATCATTTATGACCTTGATGGAGGGATAAACATACACTTGTAAATGTCTAAAAAATACTTACACAGCAGCTTATTAATCAGAACATCTAGACTACTATACTATGGAATAAGAATGTAAGCAAGTAGATTTGTATGGAGTTAATAAAGACAGTCTGTCTGATTTAAGGCTGGGGAACTTTCAGATACTGAGACAGACTGTACCACCGAAAACTTTATTAGTAGCCTAATATCATAACTTAGCCCACATCCAGCCCCTGCTTCCCGTTCCCTCTGAAACCTAAACTTCATATCCTCCGCTGATAAGGCTTAAGATATAAACATTTTTTTGTAAAAATATGGTGAAACCTGGTATATTGAACAGCACTGCCTTCCATCCTATTAACAACAAAAATATATGCAAGCACACATTTCTAGTCCAGTCGTATTCATATGGAAACTCACCTCAATCTGACCATGTTCTTTGAAGGAGAGCTTGATGTAGGAGTTCTTACTACTCTGGAATGGACCAGGTTCTTTGTTAGCAGCTGGGTGAAGATGGACCACTATTTTGGCACTTAAAAAAGAATGAATGTAATGTATTTAACTGCCTTATTAAAAAAGTCACTAATTCAATTTTCATAACTTTTAATATATTTCAGATCACTTTTAAAATTCATATGGAAACAAAGAACATCCTAAAAGGAATCCTTTTAAAGTCTGTATCAACTCAGTATATTTTTTAAATTGTGTGTGTGGGGGGGGTAATTAGGTTTATTTATCTATTTATTTAATGGAAGTACTGAGGATTGAACCTAGGACCTCATGCATGCTGAGCATATGCTCCACCATCAAGCTATACCCTCCCTGTCATATCAATTCAGTATTAATGAACCTTTCAAAAATATCTCTACTTAAAATTTATAATCTGTGAACCAAAAAAATTCAAGTTACCCGCTCTATAGATTAAATAAAAATGTGATTTGGGGAAATAAATTCTCTACAAATTTGCAAAATTTGGGGTGGTTTATGATATTAGTTTATGATTAGGGTTTTCCATCTACAGAGTCATCCCCAAAGGTTTCCAGGGGGGGCCTGTAAGTTCTGCCAAAGCATACCACCTTACTCATTTGAAAACAAAATGTGAAAACTTATCTGTGGAAAACTGGCCAGCTGACATTTTATTAAAACTCCATCCAAAACTAACATTCTACAGTGTCACTTTTTGAAAATGTCACTCAATCAACAACAGGATCTAGAGAGATATCTAATAGCAAAAACAATTCTCAAAATGCTGTTGCTCTAGGAACACAAACAACCATAATCTTTATTTCTACTGTTGCCCTCTATGGTATTAAAAACACCACCATATTTGTTCAGTTCTGTTAAGTCTTTTTTCCCACCCAGCTCAATAAACAACTTCTATAAATATCAGC